TCTCTGAAATAGTAACCATGCATACCCACAACACAATTTTGATGGTGATGTGTGAGCCAGAAAGTAACATTTGATTTTTGGTTCCCAGGATGAGTTGGCAGAATTCTTTAATTAGAAAAGACACCTCCTTTTACTTGTAAAAGAAGCAAATTTAGTTTTGTAGTACAGGCAGTCCCCGGGTTACGTATAAGATAGGGACTGTAGGTTTGTTCTTAAGTTGAATTTGTATGTAAGTCAGAACTGGTATATATTGTAGGGGAAACTCTAGCCAAACATTTCTCCAGAGCTCAGTTTTATTCTCCCACACCTCACTTCCCTCAGTCCTTTATTCTCAAGCTGAGGTGTCTGCTGAGAAAGGCGCGTTACTTCGCGTCTCCCTGGTCTGCTGGGGGGAAGCAGCTAGTGCGGGGTTGCCTCACCCCGTTTGTAAGTAGGGATCCGATGTAAGTCGGATCCGTGTAACCCGGAGACTGCCTGTATTCTATATCTGTTTCTCAAATACCTTAATGCTAACTTTTATTCACTGTTGCAGTGGAACCACACTTTATAAACAAACAGAAAATAAATATCAGAGTAGCCATGTTAGTCTGAATCTGAATAAACAACGAGAAATCCTATGGCACCTTATAGACTAACAGATGTATTGGAGCATAAGCTTTCATGAGCAAAGACCCACTTCATCAGCTACAACAGAAAATATGCTCCCAAGCTGAACATAGTATTGTCATGTTTCCACAGAAAAGCTTCATTCCCTATTTATTAAACCCTGGGAAAAAATAAGGATAGGACATTAACTATTTTAGCTACATTGTTTACTGTTCCCATTAAAAGAATAGCAAAACTGATTTATTCTTTAATTATTCAGATAGACATGTTATATAGTAATACATTGCATTGCTTACAAAATGCAGGACAATGTAGCACTTTTCATTGCTTACAGTGACTGCAGTTCAAAATCAGAATGTCCTTGTTTTAGAAAATTGTTGCTGGAGAGATGGAAAGGCTTATGCTCAATACAGAATTTATTAAAGTCTAAAGCAGTATGTCATTTCGCTTTTACATAACTTTATTATTTTATTTGACTACAATTAAGAGTGTGGTATTTAAGAAACAGAAAGAACCCAATAAGTTCAAATACAGAGCACATGCAGAAAATCTGTATTTTCAGTTTTATTCTTTAAAGCTATTACAGAGTTCTCAGTGAATTATGAGTACAGCTGAGAGTCTGGAAATGCTCAGGCTCACCTCAGGTTGGAAGAGCTGGCAGGAAACCATGCAAGGCTCAACGAGACCATGAAGCTCCCAAGTTAGTTAGACCTCTTCATTTACTGAAACAAATTACAAGATTTCAGAACACCTGCTTCTTCCTGCTTCATTGAGGAGAAGATTTTTTCTCACTTATATCTTAAAACATGAATAGTGTATGTTTCATGTGTAAAATTGCAGCTACCTACATACCAAACACTTGCTAATTTTGTTGATGCAGTTAAAGATGCCTGCAGTGTCACAGTAAGTTTTTTAGTTTTAAAAAAGTCAACACTCCTAATGGTGGACATTTGTACTTTCAAAATATAGCTTTCATGTACAGTGAATATGTACACTTCCATAATAGGTATCTCAGAACTCACTTCATAGGAACCATTAGTGCTATAAAAGATCTCAATTCCTTAATCTTTCAGAAACTCAGTTGAGCAGTCACTGTATTATTCTGTATCTTGTCTGACACGAGGAAACAGCCCCAAAAAGAAAGGTATCCCAAATTAATGCCACACTTCATTACATAAAGACATTCTTGGTTTTCCAAAGCTAATTCGATCCAGTTCAATTAACTCATTTTTTTTTGTCCTCAGAACAGATCACAAAAGGCAGCCATGAATGAGTAAGTTCATAATGTGTTTAACACATCAGTGTGAGACTAAAAGGCAGACCACGTGGGAGGGTTCCTGCCTTTAGATTTGTAGACAATACCCGATGAAAGAGGCCCCTCACTCAAAACTGTTCTTTAGTGAACAGGGCAGAAAGCTTCAGATCACTGTTACAAACAGGTATAATAGAAATTAACCAGAACTCAATTCCTCGGACACCTTTTCCCTCACAATTGTAACTGTTTGTGTAATCCAGTCTTCATGTGATATTCTCATTTTTGCAGTTAGTTCACTGCAGTTAGTTCAGTATAAACCAAAAACAAAGTTTCCTAGAGCTCATTTGGTCAAATAACTTGCTTTAAGTAGATTGAGGTGAATTTAATTTGTATATAATTTGGATACACTGTATCATTTAGGTTTAAACATTTTTTTTTTCATTTTTTATAAATTCAGATTTTCACTATAGCAGGAAATTATGGTGGGAGAGAAATTAGACCATAATCATTTAACAGCAGTAATGTTGAGATTCAAAAACTTAAAGCTTTATAACCATTAAAACACAAGTTTTTCAACATCCAATGTGAAAATATATTAAATAAATCTTAAATCCAAGTCTGAGTTTTCAACAAACATTTTTTTCTTTCTTTGCCCATCTGTAAATTTCTGTTGTTAAATAGATGGAAATACTTCTTCCGCTATGTGCATATAGAGAAATTGATGTTTACCAACTTTTACTGATAACAATCTAATCCTTCCAAAACATGTTCCATTTCACTCTTCCACATCAACAATATATATTATCAAAGGTTTATAGGTTTAGCAAAGGAAGGAATAGACAACAACAAAATAGCCATTACTTATTTTAGGCTAATTTTTATATTAAAACCTAAAATGATGTGCAGTGTGTTCATAATTTTAAAATTTTCTTTCATATGCTTGTAATCACCTTTCAGTAGCCTGAAATTGAAATGTTTCATTACCAAATTTAATTTTCCTCCTTCATGCACCAGCTTGTTTAATATATTCATGAGTACTAGGCTACTGAGATTTTTTTCGTATTCCTTTTAACACTTAAAGGTGAATTCGCTACTCGTGAGTCAAGAAGGTTTTGGATTGATCAGAATGGTTTGATGCATGTTACATGCAGACAAGCCATGAGAGGGCCCTTTTGTAAAAATTCATCCAGGAAGTGTCAGCCTCAGCACATTGGTGTACATGTGTGCACCTGGACTACGAATAACCCTTCCAGTCATACCAAATAGTTAGTTTTAGTCCCTGTATTATATAATAAAATTGTGTCAAATAAATATAACTTATTATAATCCAGAATCTGTACCCATTTTCCAGAGAGCAAAATGATATTTCAGTGACCATCTGTAATAAGTATAAAAGGACACAGAAGCATTGTTTTTGAAAATGAAAATATATTCAGAAAATTATAACTGTGCATTCGTGCCACCACTTTGACAATGACAACTTTAATATTATCCATATCAGCAATCTATTAGTTGGGAGGATTTTAAAATAGCTTTGTTTGGGATGTGAATAATTTAATAATTGAACCTCCAAAATCCAGGATTCTCTGATTAGCAACATCTGTGATCTGGCAGGACCATGGATGTTCCTGGATCTGAAAGCCCCAGCACCAAGGAGTGCGAACCTTGTCCCTGGGGAGCCCAGGTCGGGCAAGGAAGAAGCAGAGTTGCACGACGGGAGCCCTGTCCCCAGGGAGCCCCAGCTGGGTGGGGCAGCAGCGAGACCTGCGAGTCCCATCACTGATCAGGCAGGAGAGAGGCAGGGCTGAGGAGGCTGAGGAGCTTCATTCCTGGGGAGCCTTGTCTGGGCAGAGCAGCAGTGGGAACAGTGAGCAGCAAAAGCTGGGCAGCTGGCAAGCCCTGTCCCCAAGGATCCCTGGTCAGGCAGGGGAGAAGCGGGACCACAGAGACTGGGGAGCTCAGTCCTGGGGATCCCCAGCAGGACTCAGCCCAAGTCCAAGCTCTGTAGTCTGGAGCTGAGTGGCAGTGGGGCCAGAGTGGAGCCAACTGCAGGAAATGGGGAGCGTCCTGGGAGGCTAGTGGCAAGGGACCTCCCTATATCCAGCAAATTCCATCCTTCGGGATGGGTCAGATCCTGAGGGTGCCAGACAAGGGAGATTCAACCTGTACTTAGTTATGTTGTAACCAAAACATTCTAAAGGTGTGCAAACTGTTGTATCACCAAATTACCTGTCTGGGGCTGCTGTGGGGAGCAGGGGAAGTTCAGGGTCTGTGGTAAAAGCAGTTGCTGCAAGAAGTTCTGTGGGAAGTTTATCTAATGGGGATTTTGAAAATTGAGCAAGAAGGGTGAGAAAAGAATAGGTTCACAATAAAACTAGCAGCATTAGCATAGAGAGAGGAAGAAAACCAGGACAAGTAGTAGAGAACTGAAAGGATAAAAAAAAAGTTAGATCTGGTAAGCATTGTTAATATGAGAGTGCTTTTTGACCTACGAAACGAGCTAGTGATTTCCATTGAGTTTCTGAAAAGCATGTCTCCAATAAAAAGACACCAGGAAAACTGGCACTAATTGGTACTTCTGTTGACAATTTCAGTCTAGAGATGTATGACCAAGTGGACACTGAAACTGTATTCACATCTCACCCCAAGAGATGATTTTTCTCAGGTCAGAGTTGAGGCATAATTACAGTGTAATATATGCAAACTGTGACTTCCACTATCTGTAATGTACCTGGTCTCCATTCATTTGAAAACCTGAATCTGTAGGGCTACCAAAATATAAAATAAAACAAAAATCTTACGTCTGTTTTTCAATTAAAAGTGATAGTAATTCCTTGTATGTTTAGAGTAGAAAACATCGTTTCAAAAAAATGCAGATGTTTTAATTTAATCCAAAGTTATAAAAGTTCCAAAAACACATTTTGCATAATTTACAGGTTTTAGAAATGTTGCTTACATCTTGTTTCATGATAATTATCTTTATTTTGTGTGCTTTTGAAATCAAGAAATTATGTAGTGTTTCTACATTTCATATAAAATATTTTGGTACTGTTGATGTTAAGTACAAAATTATCTTTAAAATGGTGTTTTGGTTGATGAGTACATACCTGTGATAGTTTGTTTTTCATTATTCCCTTAGTTTTAATATGAAATCTGCAACCATTGAAGACCACAGGAAAACAAGGGTGAGTGTTCTCCATTACACTGTCAATCAGTTGTCCCCCAACATGGTGCCTGAAACAGAATAAATAACCAAAGGTGTTTTTATTAACTTCTAATAAGCAAAATTTAAAAACTTTCCTGCTTGTTTTTTCCAGTAATTCTTAATGAAAGTCTGTTTCGTGGTCAGAGACTGGGTTAGTTCAAAGGAACTGAAAAGTAACTTAAAGATCCAATTTGCAGAGAATTTGGAAAAACTATTGAAGTTATAGTGTAGAATAGATCTTCCCAAAGGAGATAGTGAGACATCTTTTGCTTCAGATATTTTAAATTAAACTTGAACAAAGAACTAGAATGTGTTGCCTAGCAAACAATCCTGCATTGGCAGAGGATGGACTGGATGATCTAACTGGTCTTTCCCCTCTGTAAAGTCTATGGATGTGTCTAGACTACAGGGTTTTTTTTTTTTTTTTTTTTAAAGTAGCCTTTTTTCGAAAAAACTTCACCTGCGTCTATTCTGCAGCTGCGTTCTTTCAGAAGTAAATCGAAAGAGCACAGCTGTTTTTTCGATTATGGTAAGCCTCATTTTACAAGGGATAACACCTTTTTTTGAAAGTAGTCTTTCGAAAAAAGGTGCTATTGAATGAAACTGTGCTTTTTCGAAAGAGAGCATCTAGAGTCTCTCTCAAAAAAGCGGCTCACTTTTTAGAAAAATCTGCTTGTAGTCTAGATGCTCTCTTTCGAAAGAGGCTTGTAGTCTAGACGTACCCATATTCTTTGTGGGGGGAGGCTTGTAGTCTAGACGTACCCTATGATTCTTTGTGGGGAATGGATGTTAGTAGGCTAATCAAAATGCAAGTCATCCACTGGTTTAGGAAAATGAATTAATATGATATGGTTACAAATACAAATAGCAAATGAACAATCTAATGAACAGCAATAAGGCCTTGTAATAAAGAGACTTGAAGTTATTCTTTAGAATAGTTGTTTGGCATTAGAAATAGCAAGACTATAGTAGGTACTAAGAAATAAAAAATAAAAATTTCCACACATTTATCATGGAATTTATTTGTATAAAAGAAAATGTAATCTTGTTAGAATTTGTTTTATGAGCAGATCAGATCTTTCAAAGTGGATTTTTTTTTCTTAACAATAAGTTGCAAATAGATAGGACTTTATCCTGTTTGTGTTTTACTATGTTATGTAAATGACTTGCAATAACTTTTGATGTTCCATAATAAATGCCCAAGTTTTCATAATGTAAGAAACTGGTGGGAGATGTCAGAATGTATGAAGGCTGCCTTTGATCAGATAGTAAACTGAATTCTACCAGGCAGTTACTTAATCTCTGGCAAAAAGCAACATCAAAAAAAAAATTAACTTAACAACTATTGTCTGTAAAGTAACCTTAATTACAGTTTCTATGCGCTTGTAAATGTACTACCCCAAATCATGTAATTTATTGCTAGTAAAACCATGGTTAGAATTCTTTTAAGAAATAAGATGTGAATTATTTTAGTTAAAGGATTTAAAGGTGATAAAAGAAATCCTTGATGTCGTGATGTGTCTTTGGAATACCAGCTATCCTAAATGTCCTTTGCAGGATTCTGAAGTAGTGTTCAATTAATGCAAACTATAACTATCTATCTATCTATCTATCTATCTATCTATCTATCTATCTATCTATCTATCTATCTATCTATCTATCTATCTATCTATCTATCTATCTATCCCTTAGTTTTTCCATGAAACAATTTGAACAATTGTAATGTTCATGATTATTTCTTTAGATACTTGCAGAAATTTATATTGGATTCTGCAATAACAGCCCTCTACCAAGTTATGTTTTTTCTTGCCGTGGATGCAGTGTTTAGCAATTAAGTTTGTATGTCTTCTCTGGTGCCAACACCTGTCTCTGAAAGCAGTGTTTAAACAGGAGCAGTAGCCAGTTGAAAGGGCACTGTGAGCTCTTTAAGGCCTAATTAAGAACTGAAAGAGAGATGAAACATGTAGGACAAAAGATGTGAAAACTGCTGAGATTATATTCCCAGAGCAAAATTTCTCATTAGAACAATAGGGAGATGATTAGAGAATGCCAAGCCTTTATCTTATCTTGTAGCTCTCCTTCACTTGGTGTAGATGTCAGTTAGTACCCCAATATTTTTTGGTTACCAGGACAATCCTCCTTTAAATATTTTACTATTTAAAATCTTTTGCTACAATTTACATTTTATAAGATAAATATTTCATAATAAAACTTGAGTAGCAAATTTTTTTAAGTAAAAATTAGATTATTCTTTCGTCCATTAACATGCTGTGTTGTCTAAATGATCAAATGGAAAATTAAAACAAAAATGTTAGTTTCCCCCATACTTTTGGCATTTTCCTTTCCTTAAGTGTTAAACACATGCTGGTAGATAGTTTAATCTTTATTTTTCTTTAACTGGAATGTTCTTGTATATCTGCTTAATGTTCTTTTTTAAAGGGGTGTAAGGAAATACCTTTAAAACATACATATTACACAGAACATTCTGGAAAAGAAATTGAACCGTTAAAAACAACATTGCATAAGGGATTTAGATCTTCTATATATTAGAAAATTGAACAAGCTCTTTATTATTACACATGGATGCTTTAGTAATACTTTATACATATCAGAGAAAACATTTGTACTGTCAACAGAAACATTTCCTTCCTCAGGAGTGGAAGAATATGTGCAAAATACATGAATGGCCAAGAATTGGAAACACTTTCTGTTCTATGCATATCACTGGAAATGCAGACTAAATGATTTGCAAGTTTCACCACCCTTAGGTATTTTTATGAAGTGGATGATGTTTGCTACGATAAATGTCAATTTACAACACTAAAAGTCAATAGCAAAGTAAGTAATAGTAACTAAAGACTGATGTTTAGCCGAAATGTAACCTCACAGAATCAGTCAGAAATCCTAGAATGTTTAATAGTGCACAAGTTACTAATAGAAAACACTAGATGGAGAGAGGTTGGTTAAGTTGTAGCATTCCAACTGATTTGCCATACACCATCATTTTTAATTAGCCCTACTTGAAAATGTTGGCCACCTGCATATTTTAATGATGATATGGATGCCAAAGTGTAAATATTGAGATGTGTTGAAATGAAGTGAAGCAAGCTCTACCATGCAGTGTGCTTCTTGATTGTGCCTGATTTATCATTTTTAATGAGCAGATTTAAATGTAAACAAAAACTATCTCCTAAGTATGAATTACCTCACCTTATACTCAAGTCAAAAGTTCAGGATTTGAAAGGTTAGATGATTTTACTTAGTCAAATGTTTTATATCTTTTAAATTTCCCAGTCTCTGAACTAGATAAAACTAATTATTATATATCTCTAATGGTGCTATTATTTTCATAAACTCACTCTTGCTAATTATCTTTTTCTTAATTATATGTTATTTCTCCCCAGTAGAAAATAAGGCATTTAGGTTATAGTTTCCTAGATCACACATTGCTTTTATAACTGGAATTAAACATACCATCTCTGTTAATACCTCTACACATAGTGAGTCATCAGAAAGCATTGCTGAAAATGTTGCTTTTTGTCTTGCTACTTAATTTAGAATTCTGTGCAGGCAGCACATGCTTTTTTCAACTTCTGGTTGTTCTCCATTCTAGATAAGTGCACTCGTGTAATTATGACAACCTCTTGTGCCGTTTTTTAACTTGATCCAAAATATGAAATAACAAGTTCTAATATACAATAAGCAGATATTGAGGCTAGAACTTGGAGAGCCACTGAAGGCCCAAGGATGGAAAATCAGAGACGGTGAATCCTGATTTCATTAAAAAGCTAGATAAATTCTTTGTTGTGGTCATCTCAAAAGATGTATAATAAAGCAGAGAGTAGTGGCAAGGTTTGAGTAGTCTTGTTGTGGTCATCTCAAAAGATGTATAACAAAAGATGTATAATAAAGCAGAGAGAAGTGGCAAGGTTTGAGTAGTCGGGGGTCTGTCTTGCTTCTTTCCCTCCTTGATAAGTCAACTGCTTCAGGGGCGTTGTATTACTACAGAAAGAAGATTATTTCTGAATGTGAGGTGTACGCTGCTTGAGAACAGTATGACTGTGTCTAGACTGCATCCCTTTTCCGTAAAAGGGATGCAAATTAGACACATCTTTCGGAAAAGGCTTTATTTTCTGAAAGATCCCCATCTAGACTGGCACTTTTTTCCGGCAAAGCTCCGAGCCGGAAAAAAGCGGCAGCAATGTTTATGCAAATGAAGCGGGGGGATTTAAATCCCCGCTTCATTTGCAATTGCGATGTGTCTAATTTGCATCCCTTTTACGGAAAAGGGATGCAGTCTAGACACAGCCTATCACTAGTGACTTTCGGTTTCATGACCTCTCAACTAATTCACAATATTAGATTGTCTCCCATAGGTCTACTAAAATGTTGTGATGGTTTTTTATTTGTAGGATGGAAATCCTTTTGATGCCACTGCAGGGTACCGTAATCTAACATATGAAGAAGTCTTGCAGGAACTGGTGAAACATAAAGAACAACTTAAGAAGAAAGACACCCATATACGTGAACTTGAGGACTACATTGATAATCTTCTTGTACGAGTAATGGAGGAAACGCCTAGTATTCTCAGAGTGCCATATGAACCTTCTCGAAGAGCTGGCAAATTTTCCAAAAACTAAGGCAAAAACACTTGATGGTTCTTTTTATTGAATGTGGTAGTGCAAGTACGTTGCACTACACATTTTGATTTCTTAATGTTCTATTTTCCACTCCTTC